GTCAGTTTATCTTATAGATTTCTTGCTGCACTAAAAGTGAAAAAAAAAAATGAAGCAATCGTGTCTCAACAATTCTCTCAAACTCTGTGAAAATTTATGCGGAATTTGTCTCGTTCCTGCCTCGCGGCAGTGAAAGTTAATCTATCTGAAGCTTGTACTTGGAGAGAGCTCGCCTGAAGCGAGTATAAAGTAAAGACGCTCAGGCCAGATCAAGCTGGGTTACGGCCGATGCATGCTAATCAAGAACAGGCGAAACTGAAGCTGACTTGTAGAAAAAGTGGGTTAGGGTGATGCGCGTGCTCTGAAATGTACGAGGCTGGAGAATTGGAGATTGACAACGGCCTTGGACAGGTTAAGTCAGAGAATTATCATCCACTGATGTGATCGTAGGATAAAAAAGGAAAAAGATGAGATTCGGTGGACGGGGTACTGCATAAATTCACGGCTCAGCTCGCTAGAGTGCAGAATCCAACTGCTATACAGGTAGTTGGAAATTCTGGGCTAATATTAAGCATACTGTCTCATTCTATAAATTTGACATCTGACATCTTTTGCTTGTAAACTCCGTTGCACTCCTTAATGCAGTCATCCTCCAAGAGTGATTATGAATAGCAAACTACCTACAAAAATGTATCTAACAAAAAAATTGTTCATTCTGAATGATACTTGAGCGGCAAATTACAAAGTTCACGTACTTGTACCATGGTAACAGAGACAGGAAAAATATCACACTTGTGGACCCTAAATTCATAGAATGAGCTTGGCAGGAATGTTCCCGTACATGTATTTTCCAAAGCCTCCAATGTAAAGGAACCAAACATTCTTTTACTGCTACTTTCAAGGAGCAACAAGCCAAATGTTTTGTGGATATTTACCCCACCGGTACTATCCCGAACTCTACCAATTAAATTCACCCAAACCTCCTGGTGGATTTTTGAAGGATCTACGGTAGGGAGAATTAGAGATCATGATTCCATAAATCTTGACAAAATGAATAGAAAAAAAAGACATCTTCTTGGAAAAGATCTGCCATTACTCTTTTTACAATCACCCAAAGTCTCATTCTGGAGACTTCTACCGGTATCCCTCACGGGCAAAATGTCCACGACCATACGCTTTTTGACAAACCTGCGCGAGGACGCGCATCCAATTTGATGTATGCTTCCGGCGTGTTTCCGGAATTTGTCTGGACTGAAACCATATTCCTCGTTCTTTTTCTCCAGGCTGGGTGACACTTGAGAGTGTACATATCCCGCCGTACGGAGGCTAGCGACAGGAAAGGGTGTGATATTCTCGACTTCGGAAAAATAAATGCCAAGGAGCTGTCGAGCTGTCGATTACAGAACGAGATATCGCCTCAGTAATGCCCATGGATACGATGCTCTTTTCAAAGTTCGCGGATAAAACATCTCACAATTTTTGTTTTCCCCTCTACGACATGAATGACGTTTGGAGACTACTTTAGTGACAGAAATAGGGCAGAGAAGATCGAAGCAATCTCTCTTGGTGGTAGATGGCTGCATCATTGCAGACAAGTGTTCGAACCACTCGGTGTACGAGTGTTTAGACGTCTGCACTAGTCGTGGGTTCGAGTCCCACCCGAGTCAGCTTGTCAAATTTTTTTTCGCCCAAGCCCTGGGACAGCACTGAATATGTGCTTAAAAAATTACATCAGCGAAGAGCGAAAAACCCGATATTGACAAAAAAAATTCTTTGCACTTTTGATAAACTATTTATAATAAATAGATAAAAATTTTGCATATGTAAAATCAACACTACATGTACATGCGTACATGATTGTAATTTAAACTTGCCTTCAGGCAAAACACAGACGAAAACTTCACAATTTTTTTACAGTACAAGGAACAAAGTACCAGTAGTAATTCTTAGCATTTTTCAATTTGAAACAAAATGGCCAGTGACGTTAATCGCAGTTGTCAAGGAAACCACGGAACTCTTGTTTTTAAGAGACGGGGTTACAAGTACCTCAATAACAATAAAATATTGAAGATATGCCATCTTTATTAATGGCATTGTTAAAAATAGATTTTTTATCTATAAAAGCGAGACAAATTGAGGCATTGTCTATCACAAGCACATGGCGCAGAAAAGATGTTGATATGCTTGCAAGTTGAAATCAACATTTGCAGCAATTCAGAACCTGTCTAATGTGTCCACTCTCCATCCATTCATTTTCACTCCATTCAATCACACATGGGTCTCGCAGCAAAACCCTCAGTAATGTGGCCGAGTTCTATTTATAAATACCACTTATCTGCAGGTGTTATAGCCAACCTGTTTATCAATCTGCAGGCGTTTTGTAATGAATATGTCTTTGTTTAAACAAAAATCCAGGATATTAAGGTTCCTGTAGGAACTCCACATCGCTCCCAACACGAAGCTTCGTCATACAATTTGTTTTTTCTTTTTTCGCTTGCCACTCGTCATTGCAATTTCCGGTTCTGGGAGCTCAGAAGCAAAGCAAATACTGGTTGCCTTTCGACGCCGCAAACTAAACTGGCACATACGAGCACATGTTGAGTTGATATCATTAGAGCGAAATGTATACGTGTGTAGGAGGAATGCTGGTGTCATATGAAATTTTGACTCATGAAATCTGGTCTCTTTTACCTTTTATGGATTCTAACCCTTACATGGATGGAACTGAGAATTTAAAAATGAGGACATTCCAAACCATGCAAGACTTTGTACAGTGTTTTTTCAATTTGTAATGGTATTCACGAGAAGCAAAAACGAGGAACACATGTGACCTGTCACTTTCGTAATTACCGGTATCTCCACTTAGGCATGCCCAATACAAACAAGAAGTCTGTATTCATAGTCCAAATTTCATAATACACTGGCTTAATGTTGTCCTAAACCTTGATGTACAATGTACATGTACATGTAGTCTAAAAATCAGTTTCATTTGAAGGTAGAGTATAGACCATTTGTAATTTGTGCATTTTTGAACAAAAGTGCTCAAAATCTAAAGATGGATGCTTAATAACTAAACCTGATGACTTTTTGGCTCTGTGAATGCTGTATATTTCGAGAAAACAGAACAAACATCAACACAATATTTTGGATCTCGATTTCAATTCCAAAGTTGCCGAGTCGTATTTTGAATTGCACCCTCCCGTGACACAATCCGAAAATCGGCCTTTGGAACATGATTCTCATTCAGCCGGCTGTCACTCATTCACGGATTCGCCCAATTGCAAACCAACTACAAAATTAGAACCTATGGGACGGATTCACAGCAATTTCCAAAAATGTGTCACTTGACATACCTTTGGAAATGACTTCTTTTGTTGCTTTATTCAAAATGACAGCACGCCAGAAGGAATAATTTCACAGGGAGTTTTAGTGCCATTACTATCTTTAGCTAACCCTAACAGTCCTGAATCCTCCAAATTCAATACGATTTTGCACACCCCAGGGGAGTTAGGGTTAAACCAATTAAGTCCCCCCCCACCATAAAAAAATATCTCATTAGCAAATCATCAGTTGAGCTACTGACTACACGCACACATGCCTTACAATGTAATTAATTATTTACAACGACAATTAATACACTAATCCGTTGGTATCAAGCTTGCACGCAAACGCTCAATGCCATTTTCGACCAATATAGGAAGTGGACAATTTCAGAATGGTTGCGAACTGTTTGCGCATGCAATGCCACTGCAAATATGGCTTCTAAATGTCCAAAAGCCAAACTAATCTACATGTACAATGTACATTGTAACTACACACATGTAGGGTCGTTAGTTACCGTTACATGTAGTTTCGATATATGGGTCATTCTATAAATTGAGGGTCCAAAGTGTGACATTTTTCCTGTCCTGTTACCTTGGTTACTTTGTAATTTGCCATTCAAGTATCACTAAGAATGACTTCAAATGATTGTTTTATTTGTTGGGTAGGTAGTTTGCTATTCATTATCACTCTTGGAGGACGACTGCATTAATTAAGGAGTGCATCAGAATTAAAGAATCATAGAGGTCAGATGTAACAGCGACAGGAAACAAAGTGAACCCCTAATTTTAATCAAATGACCCATGTGTGCAATATACATGTACCGGTACATGTATGATGTTCACTCATGTATTGTACATTAAGCCAAAAAAAATACTAAGTCAGTCTCTGGTCAGCGCGCGCGTCGATTTTAACCATGCGCGTCAATCTTTTTTTTTTTCCAAAATGTTCCGCGGTAGCTCCAACAGCGCCCTCTGTTGCCGCACCCCCTCAATTTTTTTTACCAAAGAGCACCAAGGAATGGGATATTGCGCCACGGCAAATGATCGAGAGCACCAAGGTAAATTATGGAGGACACCAATGTACATGAGGATACCAAAAAAAGCAAAATAGTACCCCACCTTGTCTGTACAATCCAAGCTTGAAGAAGAAAAAAAAAAAAGCAAAAAAAAAAAAAAAGCCGCGTCGCCGCGTCAATTCCAAAACTTTGGTCTGACCAGAGACCGAATATTTTGTTTGTTTGGCCTTATGGCACATAATCTGTGTGTAAAATACAGAAACACAAGCTGACAACAGAGGGCAGTATACAAATTGAATGGAAATATCTGACGTGCATGCAAGGAAAGCCTGTCTGGAAGTGGCCACAAGAGGGGGCTATTCAGGTACACCACACCATACAACCCAAAGACACTACACATGGTGACAACATTCACTAATTTGTACTGCACATCTACACATCGTCAAATCGTCACATACACTAAGACGATTTGAAACAAAACGAAAGTTTGCAGGGGAGAATTAAAAAAAGGAATTACAATTTGTTTTCCCCCAAAGAAATTTCAAAGCTTTAATTTTCACCGTTGCAAGAATTTTTCTGAAATAGTCAACATCTGTGGAGGTTCTTGAAACCACGGCTTGGTCTCTAACTTTGGCACCATTTCTAGTCCTGAAGCCAAAGCTGGAAGTCAAATCCGAGGTTTCAAAAACTCCATGGATAAAAAAAAAGTGACTGTACTTACTTGTACCAACATAAAAAGGCCACAGCTATGCCGAGTACACCGACAGCTACGCAGCCACAGACGATTACTGGGGGGAAAAATGATCAAAACTTCATAATTAGGATAAATAATGCAATAATTATTATGACAAGGGGGGGGGGGGTGATGGGCGGAGCTAGGCAGGGGTTGGGGAGGGTGCACATGGGTCGCATACAGCGATTTGTCGTGACAGCAAAGGCATTTTTCCAATAAATAATACCTAAGGAGATATGACTACATTATCCTGTAAACTACCTAGCCCTCCTACTGTTTGATCAGTCACAGACAGTCAACAAATTTCTTCCACTTCCTCTGCCACGCATTTGTACACAGGCTAGTAAAAAACAGTCAGATCACATTCATGTAAACACTGTGACTAGTCAAATTCAGTCAACAGACAAAACAGGTAACTGGTACATGTACGGTAGGTTCAGCTGGCATATCAATCACCTCCAGTCAAAGCATGGCTATATCAAAGAAACAAGAGAATTCTGAACTGTCAAAAACAGTACTTGATTGATTTTGACTGCTGTGATGGTGCCTGAATTTGCCAGGGAGAGAGGGAGGATTTTAATTACAAAGATGCAATTTTCCCCCTTTTTTCATTGTATGTGTATACTTCTCGAATTTGGCAACCCAGTTTCAACAAAACAGACCAAATCACCTCAATTGCTATACAACAGCCATTCTGGATTCTTGGACTTTCCTCTTTTCCCGAGACTGCTAAATTGATGCCCTCACAGGAAAACTTTAATTGCTTCGCAGATTAATAATATCACTCCCACCGGTCGACCAACTGACGTTTTTCCCACGGCTGTTCCGCCACGTGCACTCGCTCCCACTGAAACTCACCAATGTCTCCTCTGGGTCCCCAGATTTTTTTGGCAAACCAGCGCTCCAGTATTTCCCCCCTTTTTTTGCTAATTCAATAGTCCTTGTTTTTTTCCCGGAGGTAAAACCACTCCGTCGCTGGTAATTCACTTGCTAAACGGATTAGAGTCTGCCCTGCTCGGTGCTTTCGGAATTCATGGTGGGCAAGATATATTAGCATTCTTGAGTCGTCCACGTACAGCACAGCTTTGTGTTTTTGTGCGTCATTGCGATTTTCTAATCAATTTTGCGAGGCGCTAGCTGATTGCTTTGATATCATCGCTCGGAAGTTAGATATTCTTTTTTCTTTGTCAATAGGTCTCAAATGGCGACGTCAGATATTTTTTTCATTACGATTGGGTCTTGATTGGCAATGTCTGTGTAATAATTGATTCCGCAAAAAAAGTACATTGTACAGTCATGAGACTGAATATAAAATTTGAGCAGTGTTGTCGTCAAGTCCATCACAAGCCCGGTCACAAGAACATCACAAGTGCGGTCACAACTTAGTCACAAGTGCAGTCACAATTCAGGACAAAATACTGGTCACAAGTCCGTCACAAGTACATCACAATTCCGGTCACAAGGAAATAAAAAGTCCATCGCAAGTACATCACAAGTCCATTAAGGGGATAAACAATTACAAAGGAATACCTTTGTCTTGAGATGGACTTGTGATGGACTTGTGATGGACTTGTGTTAGACTTTTGATGGACTTGTGATGGACTTGTGATGGACTTGTGACGGACTTGTGATAGACTTGTGTTAGACTTGTGATGGACTTGTGATGGACTTGTGATGGACTTGTGATGGACTTGTGATGGACTTGTGATGGACTTGTGATAGACTTGTGATGGACTTGTGATGGACTTGTGATGGACTTGTGATGGACTTGTGATGGACTTGTGATAGACATGTGTTGGACTTGTGATGGACTTGTCATGCTTGTGATAGACTTGTGTTGGACTTGTGGTGGACTTGTGATAGACATGTGATGGACTTGTGATGGACTTGTGATGGACTAGTGATGGCTTGTGATGGACTTGTGATGGACTTGCAACGGACTTGCGTTGGACATGAGTTAGACTTGTGATGGACTTGTGATGGACTTGTGATGGAGTTGTGATGGACTTGTGATGGACCGGACTACAACTCTGTGCCCAAAGCACAAAGTGAAATTGAATTATACGTGGTTGGAAAGCCCACAACGTAAACTTTCATATAGAGCTCCATAGCCCCTCCTGTTCTGTGGATGGAGATATGACGTTTTTGCATATTAATTACCTCCTTGGAGTTCGAATTACACAACTCAGAAAACGGGCTTTGAAATAGCTGGCTGTGTTATAGATTGGGGCATTTATGCACTAAAAATTGTTGTGTTTCCCCCCCTTTATTCATCGAAATCAACATTTCTGTGAATGAACCCTGAAATTCAGGTATTAATGATGTCATTCATGACAAAAAATGAAAATCATAATTTGCTGAAATGTTTCACCCTCTCAACGTTGAGCGGGCCATAACATGATAATGCACAGCGCAACTAAATACCTTTTTGTGGACTGGGTCACAAAGTGTACCAAACATGAACAAAGGAATCCCTTGCACAAAGGCCAAGGCACTCTTGGCATTCTCCCCCACAACTCTCCCGGAATGAACTCGGAAATAATTCATGTGAAATTCCACCCGTGCCCCCTTCCCAATTCGTTTTCCCTTTACAATTTTTAATCACGCGAAGAGCGAAGATAATTAGGAGAGGGTAATGTTTAATACACACACCGATGTATAATCTGAACAACATTACATTATTGATCAGCAGTCGTCCATGTAATTGAAGTCAGGAATTTGAGACGCCATTCACACTTCGGAGTCGCGCAGGGGGCAAGGTTATATGCAATTTTCGTCTCTGACTAATTCACAATTTTTTATTTTTTACTTTACAACAAAAGAAAGACTTCAGGTTTTTTTTATTTAAAGGGCTTTTAGTTTCGTTGGAGGATACTGACGAACTTTTCTGAAATGATTAGTCAGTGTACAGTGTTCGGGTTGTCATCATTTTCGTTCTCTAGCGAATACGCGATGTGAAAACAAACACGATCGAATGTACATTGTAAACTGACAAATCAGATTAGGACTTTTGGTCATGTGACCACTTAGCTCGGTCAAGCCCGGTCACAAGCACTGTAAGAAATGTTCACAAGCTAAAGGAAAATATAATTTTTTAATAAAAAAAATTTAAAAGTGCGGTTCCCTGACTTGTTTGATCATATTAGTTTTCCCGCGAGCGCGAGTGGAACACGGAATAATGTAGTGAGTCTGTGTCCAACATACCACAACGCCAAAGGCCGAGTTGTATTTTGGAAACAGACGCACTACATTTTCCGTGTTCCACGAGTGTGATAATTAATTTATCTTCAAGCAAACTTGAAGCGCAGTAAAGTTGGACCATAGCTTAACCACACGAACCTTTTAGCGGTTTAGCGCATGCAGCTGGAATGTCGCTCGCATCTTGGAATAGCGCAATATGCAGGGTGCGATATGGACTATGCAATACAGCCTCATATCACACTGTTGTTGCCATAGATTGACCAATCAGGATCGAGGATATAAGTTTGCTTGAAGATAATACTTGATGTACCACCATGTTTCTGATAAACTGTAAAGGACCAGGCACCAGACTTACGTATAAACTGCCAGTCCTCCAGTAGAATCTCCCCGTCATGCGCGATGGGAGCCTCTTGCTGCTTGCTGATGTCGTTGTCCGGATCGTCCCCGCTGCGAACCGCTGCGTTGACGCCGTCATCTTGCGGTGGCGGGTCTGCCGCGTTGGATTCGCTGAGGTCCCCTACTGGCACGGCCTCGGCGGGATCGTCCGCTGGCTTGGTCTTCTCCACCGTTTCCACGTTCTCGTGCTCTAGATGCGTGGTTTCCCCGTTGGGCTGCACGACCTGGTGGTCCGTCAGGACGCGGGTTTCTGTCTTGTCTACTACAACCTCGCCTTTCTTGGTTGATAATGGCGTCGATCCTGGCACAACGAAGAAAACAATAGGGAGGTTAAATCTTCAATTTCAAAATTATAACTGCATCAGTTAGTAGAAATTGAGAACATTTGCAGTGATGTTCCAGATGATTGATCAACTTGCCTTCGAGGTCATGTTGCTGCTTTGGCCCCCCCCCCCCCAAAAAAGAGGCGTATCTTTGTCCTAATTTTGGAAAAACAGGTGTGTGCAAAAACATGGGACAAGCATCTGAAATGAAAGCAGCCTGTTTTTTATCACTACTGGGAGTCCAGGCTTGGGCAACTTTAGAGTTAATTGTCTTGGAATTGTAATCATTAGGAAATGATTCAAAATTTTCCTCGAAAAAAAAATACAGGTAATTGTGAATATGGTGAATATCCGTCTGACAAAACGACAATTGTTGTAATTTCTAAAAAGGGCCTACAGTCAAATAACACATATTTCCCAGCAAAAGAAGAAATTATTGTTTTATTCTCTTGCAGAGCAACCGTTCCCCTTAAAAAAATTCTTAAGATCACAAAAATCCATTTTGTATAAACTGCACAGTAAAATGGAGTCTTTAAATACTGCAAACCACACAAGCAACCCACTGGCTCCCTCCAAACGTTCACAGTAACCACCGTCAATTTTTAGAATATTGACAGACATGACTATTTCATGGTGTTACGGTCCATACCCACGACATGCGAAAGTTCGGCCATAAAATATAGAGGCATACGGAGCACTGCACTTTGGGACTAGGACATGCAAATTTCATGCACGTCGCTCCTAACCGCGGGCGCTGCATATGGGCTGCGGAAAAGACAAGGCCAAATTAGAATAAAGTGAATCACGGAGGATTGTATTGCTCGATCGACCGACTGTCAGCACTGACAGCGTTTTGGAGTTATTTTTCAGCTCCTGTGCGGAACACATGTGCACTGTTGGTAGAGGGGTGGGGGGGGGGGGGGATGGGGAGGTACAGTAGCACATATGTGACCACTTATTGATTTGGGTCAAATACGGTACATGTAGATTGCTTAATTTAAAGATGTACTCAATTCGCTCTTTTCACACTTCCGCCATGGGCATGCAGAGCCTCGATCTGGCAACTTTACACAATGAATATAGCCGGTTCAGTGATTCCCGTGTCGGGGTTCAGATCACTGAACCGAACCGGCTATTTTTATTGTGTAAAGTTGCCAGATCGAGGCAGCACAATGGCGGAGTATGAAAAGAGCGAATTTCATTTTAGTGGTTTCCTTTATTACGAGCCTAACTTTAATATGGAGTTTTGAACCGTCCTCAATCCTCCCAAAATCCTCTGAAATTTTGCACTCATGTTCAAATGAAGGATACCCAGCGCCTCAATCCTTCAAAATTGCCAGACAGTCCTGCCTCAAAAATTTGAATTCATCCTCAATCCTCCAAAATCACCATGAGGATTTTGGAGGATTGAAGTGGGTTAGTGTTATCAATAAACAAGGTAGAGTTTTATGAACATGCCAAGCTGAGAATCTTGCTGAGTAAATTTCCATGTTAAGAAAATATTTGCCGAGTATCAGTCAAAAGTCACATCACATGACATATATATGTTTTTAATAAGCAAACTATTTCCATGGTTAACAATCTTTGCTGAAAGAAAGCTTCAGGAATAAGGAAAAATTGGAAAGAATTTGTTTTCCCCTTTCTTCAGAAGGTTGAACTTGTCTAAATGTTTGTTTTATACACCGGTATTCAGTCCAGTTGTAAAATGCTTCATTGCATAATATGTGTCTGCTGGTACTCTGTCAATGTCATGTACATTGTTGTACATAATTTTGTATAAACTGTAAATATTGACGGCTGACCTTCAGCAAGTATACACTCTTAAACAGTGTGGACATAAAATATTTGTCATAAAATAATAGTCATTCAAATGGAAATTCAAATATCCAAGTACATGTATGACTGAATCCAACCGTCCCAGTCCTAAACTCAGCAATACATGTACGTCACAACTTTCATATCCACCTCAAAATGTGCCTGTAGACAATGCACATACCTGTATGTGAGTTTTTATTGCAAGTTTTACGCATGAAACTACATTGTATTATCACTGCTCATTGATCAGGTGTACGTAAATGTAAAAAAATGTACATGTACAAACATGAACATGTACTGGTAGACGAATATTCAATGTATGGGATTTTGAATATCCAGATATTGAGTTAATCGCACTGTCAGCTTTAAACATGACAAGGTCAGAATTATGCGCTTGATTGAGCTGGAAATTTGTTATTTGCATGTGTGCCTGGAGGAGGACCTATCTGGGCACTTTTACTGACATGACACTGTAATATGGTGTCAATGACAGCATACATTTTAACATTTTTTTAAAACTGGTAGCCTGATATAAATAATAGTGTGTGGTCACATGCAGTCACAGTGCGCGGCAGGGTTTATAAGCGCACTGTTGTCAAACACCACAATGGCAGCTTCGAGCGGCGCGACATTTGCTCTGGTATTGCGAAGAATATTCGACAAAATTTGAGAAATAAAGACAGTGTGCTGAAATTATTTTCTTACGGATCAATAAAGTCAGCCTAATATAAATAATAATTTAATAATAATAATATTGGACGGCTTTTATTTTTGGGGGGGATACAAGAATATATTGCGCTTGTCTTCAACTCGTGCAATATTACAGTAATGTCAGAATTCAATACTACAATGTATCCAACTGCACAGACAATGCGCACAGGAGTCTGATATTTTATAAAACTAGTGTCGATGGTATAAAACCATCTGGTAGACCTATACATCATTTTGATCGCAAAGAAATTTTGAATATTCAAGCTATTAAATAACCAAACCGTCTCAACCCTGATCCCGACCAACCACGAATTTCATATTTGTTCAATCAAATGCAAATTGAAATATGCGAGTAATCAAATAATCACAATGTCTCATCCCTTGGCCCGACAATGTCAGATTCTAATATCTGGTCGGACACGTAAGTCTCCGAGCGAAAGAGAAACTCTCAGCTGGCACTTGAACCACTTGGCGCCACGCATCCCACATTCCGCGCCGACACATCGTCCTCCCAAGTCCCCCTCCGTAATGCAAAACAAAAACACTGAGGCCTCTCCGTTATTTAATATTACAGGTTTCCCTATGCCTCTGTTTTTCGTTCTTCCCTCGTTTTTTTTTTTGGGGGGGGGGTGGGGGGGGGAGACAGTTAGGCTAGGGAGAGGAATATAACGGAAATACGCACACTGCGCCAAGTACCCTATCTGTGATATTGGTGAAGATGCGGTGAAAATTTGAGTGGTTTAGGTAACCGCGGGTCATCGATATTTGAGAGAAAAGCATAATATTTTTTTGTTTTCTTTCTTTTTTTCCTCTCTTTCCCTCCTACTTTTGTGGCTGGCTTGTTCCAAAAATAAGCAAAAATTTCAGAATTTGACACAACTCCAGGCTCTCAGCACAAAGCCAAGGAGTAAAGAGACAAATGGTTTCTTAATTTGAAAATCGTCAACTGCCAGTCTTTGGGGAAAAAATCCACTTTTTTGATACTATTTTTTAAAATTTGTTCTACATGTAACAGTAACTGCTCCAAATACTCTAAATTCCATCACCTGATATTGCAGTATGCACTTTGAAGAATTCAAGACAGTACAGCCAAATCATTTCACTTTAGAAGGACTTCCAAGTTCAAGTTCATTAATGAAAAACATAACAGGCAGGAGTATTCTTGAAGGTTTTAAGGAAAAAGTTCCTGGACTTTTGAATGCCTGCATTAACATGTAGTCGTACAATAACAGTCGGGGTGGGAGATGACAATTTAAATTGAAGAATTGAAATCACAACACAAATTCCTTTTTATTTTATTTTCTTTTTCGTTGTCGATGCATTTTTCATTTTAAGTTTCACCAAATGTGTATTTCGCCAAACTACAAAGCTTGAATTTTCTCCCCTAAGCCAAAAATGTTACACATTTTAACCCTAAAAGGGCCGGGGGTGGGGGGGGGGGCGGAATCTGTGTTTTTCTGTGATAGCCTTGATTTTTTTCCCGCGACCCGAACTGTTATGACTTTTTAGCCTCGAGCCTTGCGCATCTTTTGATACCAAAAACATAAAAAATCGAAGCAGGGGTTGCCGCGCAGTGAAAAATTTTCCGGCGCTACGCACTTTGAAAACTGAACTTTCCCATATATACATGTACGTCGTGCACGTATACACAGAGCACAATTACCATTCGTACCATATGAATAATTAATTAGCCATAATTCCAAAACCCTTTGACCTATAGTCATGAAATTTCTCGGGTATGTTCATGATGAGTTGCTCTATGCATGTATGAAGTTTCAAAATTTTTCGTCACTTGATGGCAGAGATCTTAGGGGGGGGGGGGGCAAACTACCAAAACAAAAAATGAAAACATAAAAATATACGTCCTTATAAACAAATACCACATATAGTGATCATATTTAGATTTAATAATTTTCTTGGAAGGGCCAGCATATTTGCAAGAATGATAACAATTGCAAGTCTTGAAGAAAAAACAATCGCTTTTGAAACTGTTTTTGTTTAGGCTCACTAAACCATGAAAACTATCGCAAATCCTCTGAATTCCAACACCTAGTGGCAGTATCTTGATGATCGATTCAGGCAATGCATTATAAGTCCAACCTCTGGTCAGTAGAGAAAATATCTCACAAAACAGCCGCACATGTGCGGTAATAAAAACGGCCTGATTTTCCCCCCAATTCCCCGTTGTAGCTCGTTCGTGTAGTTAAAGCAAAAATCAATCACGTCCAACGATCTATTCTTGGCACACACTGCTGTCACGTCAGCCCCCCCCCCACCGCCCGCGATGTTGGCTCGTGATGCTTCTAGAACTCAATGTCCAAGCCGGCAATTTACGTGGGTCGTTGCCGACGTCGTTTCCATGGCAACCCAAATTAAACGCAACCAAAAAAAGAAGGAAAAGAATCCAAAGCACGTTCCATCAGTCCGGGGCCATCAGAATCACAAGAAGAAAAAGAAAGAATTTGATGAACAAATTATTAAGCGTAATGGTTACAGCAGTCACGGTCAAATTCATTATGATATTCTAGGGCACTTATCAGTGATCGATATACATCTGGCAGGGCAGGCAGGGAGTGATAAAGACGTCGTTATCGCGGAACTTTTTTCCTAGTCGTGAAATACCCACAGGTGACACTGATGTATTAGACGCTAAATTTAATTCCGCTTGAAATAGCCACGAGCATACATAAGCATGCAGTGTGAACAGTGAAGGATTTGATTCACAAAGAAAAATGTGAGTTAATGTTTTAGGGCCACCGATCTTATGTTGTAAATATGTCCTTTTCGACTTCAGGTCATCAGAAATGTTTGCGTCACCTAAGCACCGTCGATATATATCGATCTTACTCAATTATTCGATATAAGTTTGATACCGATATTGCCGATTTTTAAAATCATATTGAAATATCCAAATTTTCGATATTGAGGAATCATATAGAAAATATCGAAAATGCATCAGATTATCGTCAAAAAAAATCTCCTGTTTGTACTTTTACTCACAAAATGAATTCCATTAAACTCCGTTCCAGAAGCAAAAAATCGCTGGCTTTAAATTTTAGTATTTTGACAGAATTTCATACTACAATACAAAACTATTTTGTTTTTTTCTTCAAAATTAAAACATAAAGTGTATTTAACATTTTTAACAGATTTGTTTACGGCATCTTTGCCTCCACCTTCAATATTTTTCCATTCATGTTCATTGTGTAAATAGACATGCATGGTTGGGCGTGTTCAGGCGTTCAAACCGTCGATGAAAAATGACGGAGAATTAACAAAAAAGAACAATATCGTCCACGATTCCCAGCATACATTTGTACGTCCGCGATTGGGATCGTGTACAAAACATATATTGGAGTCTTCCTAATTGAAGAACAAATAGAAGAGGGACAATAGGACGTCCACGGTGGGAGGTACTGTACAGTAGATACACCACTGTGTGTAAGCGGCCTTGAATAATATTGCATTAATTCAGGCGGAAAATTTCTATTATGATCTGGTCAAAAGGACCTTTTTCCCTCAATTTATTCAGCACGCAAGCTACAAGGTCTGTTAGGGTGTATGGAAGCTTGTTGGTAATGCACAGGAATATGTAAAATATACAATTGCTTCATGTATTTTAAAACAATTCTATTTTAGTTTTATTTTATCATATGACCCCAGTGGTATGTACTGGTACACTGGTTCCCATACAGTCACGTACCATATCCGAATGAAGGGATCGGGAACCAGCACATTTTCAATGTATTTGTACCGCACACTATTGTCAATAAGCAATCCACATTTTTTTAATAATAATTATTAGTTATTATTTTTATTAATTATTTCTGGTCATGAAACCAAGGAATCCTGTAGCTCACAAGCCTGAATAAACCTGTAGAGAGAAGACAATGAGAAGAAATTACAGTTTTAGAGGTGGGAGGAAAACCCCAGAAGAATATTCTGGGGAAAACCCATTGAATCAGGTAGGGACTGAAAACCCAATCCAAGTGTGGACCAGGAATCGAACCCGGGCCATAGAGGTGGAAGACCTGGAAGAACCACTGGGCCACCCTGACTCCCCTAAATTGGAGATCGGCGAACTGTGAGGCAGTGAAAGTGTCTGATGATTTTTATCGAGGCTAACAACGGGAGGCAACAGCAGTCACAGCCGATCAACGATGTCACCACTCCATTAAAAATGTCCTATCATTTAGCTTAACAGACCCCAACACAGCCAGCTTCCTGTACATTGTGTACTGGCAGGATATGCGTAGGCGTATCCATGTTGATTTTGCGCTCTGTAAACCGGACAGACTGTGAATAAATTTGGCGAATAAATATCTGCTTTTTTCTCCTGTTTATATTTTTATGCATGCCGAATAAAAGTTGGACTTACTGGTACCACACTGTTAAAGTTACATGGGAATATATTTTCCTTTTCATGCATATTTTTTTCGTTTGAAGTAAAAAAAATTGCTCAAAATGTTAAGAAGGGTGTTTAAAAACTACATGTAAACTTGTTGAAGTTTCAGCTCAGTGGATACTTTGCAATTTTAGAAAACAGAGGACAATTTTGGGGCTTCACAACTGGATTCTGTTGCTAACGCATGTCAAAAACTACCGCGTGCGGGCGCGTGTTCTTAAACCACCTTCAATAATCCTGTTCTTCCGAATGATACCATTTCAGGCGGAATAATGTCACAGGGTATTCGGAACCAGTCCTATCTTCACTTTGTGCAAGGATTTTCTTGAAACTGGTCGGTACCGTTACATGTACGTTTTCAGGTAATTGAAAATGTTCGTACACCCCATGTACGTGTCTTTAACATGAATTTTCCACGAAGAAAAATAACACTAGCTTTGGCATCAACAACCAACAATTGGCCAATGTTTTTTTGTTTTGCTTTTTAAATGGTAATCTTCCCCTTAATTAAACTGCTCTTGTATATGTCTTACGCTTTTCTTCTTTTTTTGATTTTCGACTTAAAGGTACATGAAGAATAGATCGTTTGTCATTCCTGCATTTTTTTTTCGTTTGAAGCAACCGTGACAAAAGTGCTCAAGATCTAAAGACGGATGCTTATATCAACTAACCTGATGAAATGTTAGCTCTGTGAATGCTGTACGGTACATTCTGGGAAAAAAAACGATGTTGTAGGATTGCCATTTCAATTCAAAAGCTGCCGAGTCATGCTTTGAATTGCGATACATGGGCCACATTCTCATTCAGCTGATTACAGCTATGCAATGTCACGTGCACTGAACCGACAAATAGTTGCAACCGCGCACGCATGTCAATGCTTGCGCACACCTATTCACGGATTCGCTGAATTACAAACCAACTACTAACGAAAATTTCCAAAAATGCGTCGCTTGATGCAACTTTGAAAAAACATAACAGCATTGGCAGAAAGAATAATTTCACAGGGAGTTTATTGCCGTTAGTAATAATAATACTAACAAAGCATTTGTAAGGCACACAGTATCTGACAATAATAGTCATTCAAAGGCGCCGATCTTCAAACCAAGTATAGCTTTTTAACAATAATTTGGTCAGTTTTTGGATAGCTGCAAAAGTTCTACTCTACCTTTAATTAAAACTACTCCAACATATTTCCTGACGACTTACGCTTTTCTTTTATTTTTGTTATTATCTCGACTTAATTAAACTACTACCCATGTATTTCCTCAACGACTTACGCTGTCTCCTGGCAACCGCAAGATAACACTGTCGATAGGATCAAAACGACGGTGAAGATTTGTGAGAGAAGATCTCGGTTCGTGGCCCCGGGCCAACGGACCAATCAAATGCCATCGCTGCAATCACACGCCAAACAAACACAGCTCGCAATAATGATCATAGCCAATGCCTTGGGCTTGTTTAGATAGATCAGCCGGTTGTCAGTGACGATAAGAAAAAAAGGACTGCGATGACGCTGATCAATCCGTTTCTTTCGCTCAATTAGCTGAAGTGTCATTCCTCGGCAAATTCAATCGTTAAATTATAAAGTTCCTGAATTGGGCCATTACTTAAAGGTGGATCAACTGACAGGCATTGATTAACCCTGACCCTCCTCAATCCTCCAAAATCAACCAGGCAGTTTTGGAGGATTTGGGAGGATTGACGCTGTGTGTCTGAGGATTTTGAAGGCTGAGCCAGGGGTCACCCCTCCACTGACAAATGCAAGAAATAACAGATTATTTTGGAGCATTGAAGCTGAATCCAATTTTTTACATGGTGGCAATTAAAGTATTTTGCATGATTGAGGCTGGAGCCTAGCCAACAGGGCCTAGACGTTTAGAGTTAAGCTTGAAGAGACTGAATTACGAAATGGTCAAGGGATTTTTTTGTTTAGCAATTCCCATATTTGTCTGAACAAAAAAGATGTACATGTATGTATGCACATATGTAGGCCATTCTTTGGATGTAATTTGTCACTTACATACACACAGGGCAGCTCGAAATTGATTAGACAGATTCCGACACAATTTGAGTGCAAATTACAATGTATATATGTAGTGTGGCGCACCTCAGTCATGGCGGGTTTATTTCTGAAGCACAAAATTGACCCATATTGAGTTTTAACATCCAAAGTCAGGAATCTAAAATAACGAAGATAGAGTTCGTTGACAAAGCCTAGACGTCAGAAATACGGGCAATGGGTACAGAAATTAGTGTTTCATAAGATGGAATTTTTTTTAGTGTTTCTAAAAATATGAGTGTTTCTTGAGATACGGTGGACACAAAAGTTGGGCGCTATTTGCTTTGGGTAAAAAAAAAAAAATTCAACTCAAATTTGTCAAAACAGTGCCCTCAGAATATGTCTGAAATTTCTCCAAAAAAAGGCTCAAGTATAAAGATGCCTGTTTCCATGGCAACACTCACCTCCATCTGTCCGCCTCGTCTGCTCCACCCTCCGGACAATGGTTTCAATTTCGGGTACGCCCTTCTGACCACTCTCTGCACGAGACACAAAGAAAGAGAAACAAATATATCGTCATTACCATGAAATACATGTATTCCTTGTGGTTGCAACCATCTTCAAGATCTCACACAAATATGATGGCACAGCTTACTTGAACAAAAAAAACAAACACTTTTAATGCTCATGACTAGTTAGTATTAAATACAAAACATCTGGGACGTTTTAATATTAATTTCGTTTTAAAAATATAATTTTATTGGGCTTTGGATCTCCTAAAGGTTTTGCAAAGGTCTCCAAAGTGTTGCTGAGGTTTTGGCTTTGAAACACACATTTTTCCTGACCATGAAAGTTAAGGCCAACTTTCTTGTCTCTGAAATTTTAAATATTTGATAAACAGTAATGTTGCCAAATGGTCTCACAATATGTCCCAAATGCGTCACCGACTTCTAAGGCTGCAAGCAAATTACACGTCCAGTAATAAATTCCTTTCCCTTTTGCAGATTCAACTCTCCAATGACTTGATTTCCCAACCTTTTTCCGCACTCCGAGAGGATCTACACATAATTTCTTCAAAACCTTTTTAACCGACGTCAATTGCAATATCCCGTGATGGCTCGACTCTGCCAGCTTTTTCACACAAAGTCGCAAATGATGTGCCTCGCCTTGAAGCAACACTAAGATTATCTGACACCTTAGATCGCCCTCGCATTTGATAACACAACTGCAAAGGCAACGTTTCTTTTTATCCGCGGTGTCAGCAAAACTCACACCAGAATTTTTTTTCGGTTAGGATCGTCAAAAGCACCTGCTGTGCTTAAGACTGAAGCACCTATACTTGAAATGAAATACTTGAACAGCAACTAACTGTATAGTATGCTGCATGATTCAAGTCTTGTCTTTCAACATACATACATACATGTACAGTATTGAGAGGTTATTAAATTGCTTTGTGCCAACAGGGAACACAATTTAAGTCCTTCAAATCTGATGGATCTTTCTTGACAGATTCTCCATAATTTTGGAATGAAAGATACATAATGCGTTGCAAATCCGTCCCTCTCTTATACAAATTCAGCTATGCCGTAGCAGCAGTTTAAGGGCCCACGCAATGTAATTTTTAAAATGCAATCCTTGAAATTGCACTTTTGGGTCCCATTTAACCTTGTTTTCAATTTTCATTTTGCCATGTTCAAGGGTCGTTTTGGTGCCTTTTCAGTTTTTATGCTATTGCAAATTTCCATATTCAGGAGCAAAAGTGTGATGTCATTTCAGGCAGAAACCTCAATGTTTCAGCTATTTCAGCACCAAAAGTTGGCAAAATTTTGAATGTTTTGCTGTTGTAAATTTTCTTTTCATCATGCTCATTAGTAATTTGTGTCAGTACATGGCAGTAAGTCAATGAGCAAACTTTTCAGACAAATATTTTCAATGAGCGAATTTTTGGGTTCACAATTTGAACAGAAAATCCCTAAACTGAACAGTGTCTTCCTGAAATGACATTACAGCAACAGGGCCCTCAGTTGTAAAAAAAAACACACAAATTTTACAAAAATGTAAACATTTAAAGAAGTGCACTTTTCAATAAAATTTACCAAAAAGGGATGTCAAACAGTTTTCATACATTTAGGAGGAGAAAGTTGCACAAACTGTGTTCCTAAGGGAAAAAAAATCATCTCATGGACCCCTTAAAATCAAACAAGTGACTGTTTTTAACAGTTACAACTTCCCTTGTTAGTTTGATTCAGCCATGCTTTGACTGGAGGTGATTGATATGAGTGACTAGTCACAGTGTTCACATGAATGTGATCTGACTGTTTTTTATTATTATAAATGAGTGGCAGGGAAGTGGAAGACATTTTTGACTGTCTGTGAATGATCAAATAGAAGGGTATGCATGCCGGTACATTGTACGTACACCGTACGGTATGTGTACAGTTTAAACATTCTCTCACCTGTAAAAATTAGGAAACAATACCATTAACCCTCCTATGCAAACACACATTCTGTGCAAAGTTTTAAGGGAATATACATTTTGTACACCTTGTACATCATTGGCTTTTGCTGTAATTTTCAGAAATGAACTATTTCAGGGGTTAGTATAATAGATCAAATATTGTTACACTGACATGTTTGAAGTTTTGTGTTCGAAAATGCTGGAAAAACCAAGAAAAACAAAACTGTTCAAGTTGTCTGGTTCCCTGACTCCACTAAATATAAGATGGATCAACTTACAGATGCCGGAAAATTGTAAGGGTAAGGGTACCAGTCTAGCTGGCCTGCACCCGTTCACGAACATTTAACCAATAGCAAACAAAATTTGGACTGAACTAATGGTTAATTTGGAGCAGTAGTTTAAAAATAGTTAGGTTTTTCCAACGGTGGTCGGCCGACCACCGCTGGAAATTTTTACAAAAATACCATTTTCTTGAAAATGACTTCACACCAGGTGCCATAACTTTACAGGATGCTTTAGACTGTCATTTACCAACATCCTATTAAGGTATTTCGTAAAAACTTGGTAGTTTTATTTTTCGATGTTTGCAAATGTTGTATATTCCCTTTAAGTCAAAATCAGGCAAGTGAACTTTAAGAGCTCCCAGCCTACATAAAGCAGGATTGACTGGCTGTGACTGTTTATGTAACTTGATACATAGATCTATGCTGTGACTGTACAATGTAGGTGATTAATTAAAGCCAGCTGTGCCTACCACTTGCCTGCTTTTGTCAGTTGACTGAATTTGACTAGTCACAGTGCTTGCTTGAAATACAATCTGACTGTTGGTGACTAGCCTGTGTAAAAGGCATGGCAGGGGTGAGGATTGTTTGTTTTGACTGTCTTTGACTGTTCAGACAGCAGAAGGGTTAATTTCAAACACTTGCTTGGGTTGTGATAATTCTAAAATTGTGTGTATGTAAAGATGCTTGAATTGCAACAACATACATGATGATTAATCCTACATGTTTTAGATGTTGGCACAATTCCTTTTCTTTAACTTAAAATGCTGTACTTGGAAAAAAGGCTTACAGGATTCTGCCTTGGTTCATGATTACTGCAGCATGTGGGTGATGAGTTACAACCGTGTCAACAGATATTTGCGCGGGATTGCGGCAGCCCACGCGACCGGGACAATGCTGCATGACAACCTGACCAAATAAACACGGAGCGTTGAAAAATACCCCGCGGATCACATTTCAGTACCGAGAGCCCGACATCAATGTGCTGCGTGTTAGGCTTGACGTTCTGAAAGCAGAAAGCGCGTACACGCAGGAGATAATGGAGACGCGTATTAGGTCACTCCATGTTGGTTAGCGTTAAGTGTAAAGTGATTCTACCCCCACAGGTTCCATTCAATGCGTCACCTTAGGTCGGTCACCTTTTTTACTGTTTTTTTGGGCGGAGATGGACAAAAGGATGGCGCAGGGAGCGAAATTTATACTGTCAGTGGTCCAAAGACATCTGCGCTGGGTTGAGTAGTAAGTTGAACCATGCCTTACACCTAATTCAGATGTGTGTTTGAGAATTGTGCTCGCTAAAAAAAATCCTGAGATTAGAATTCAAAGTTTGACGGTTGAAACAGACATTACGTTTGCTGCACATCACAAGTTTACTATAAAACGAACAACGTACAAATGTAGAAGGTAAATTACATCACCCCGACATAAATTCCATCTCATGAATAGTTTGGCTGCGGTACCCGCTGCTATATCAGATTCGAACCAGCCAGCCGACCCCAGCAAGCTCGGTGGTTGAGCAGTAAGACGTCTGCACTAGTAAGCAGGTCGTGGGTTCGAGTCCTACATGTCCTACTTAATTTTTTTCTCACGATCGCTCGGGACAATACTGTTTATAAAATGTCCATGAAGAGCAAAACCAATTATACAATGTACATCACCATGATGAAAATCTGATGAATAATAGAAGTCTAACCTAGCACACAGTATGGTGACGACCTCTGAATTGCAGCTCCAGTGCTCTACCCACTGAGCTCTACCAATTGGCCAGATATGCCCTGTGTCAGCGGCACCCCAATTTGTCAATGTCTTTGCTCAAGTGGTGGTAGTCAGAAACCACCATTTTCACGGGTTGGAAAAGAAAGGATAAATACTGGTGTTTCAAGTTTTACCTCATTTTAAAGGGAATATACATCATTTGCTTTTGCTGTAATTTTCAGAAATGGATGGAATTTTGGGGTTGGAAATATAGCAAATATAGTTACACTGACTTTTTTGAGGTTTTGGGTTCGAAAATGCTATAAAAACCAAGAAAAACAATCATTTTCCTGTAGTCTGGTTCCCTGACTACATTTAAGAAGAAACAGAGCAGTTTACATACATTGGGGAATTGGAAGGTCAGGGAACCAGTCTAGCTGGCTTGTACCCGTTCATAGGTGTGTAATCGATTGCAAACAAGTGCGATGGTCAATTGGGGCCAGTATTTGGAAAAAAAGCCAGTTTTTCCAACGCTGGTCGGCCGACCAGCGTTGGAAATTGATACAAAAATACCACTTTTCTTGAAAATGACAGTATACCAGGTGCCATGATTTTACAGGATGTTTTACACTGTCATTCACTGGTATTTCAAAATGATTTGGTAGTTTTATTTTTTGATGTTTGCAAATGTTGTATTTTCCCTTTAAAGATGGGAGGCGGTTTTTACAGTTAATTATCATTATGTTATTATTATTGTTATTTTCAGCCAATTTATGTACATTTACGGTAAAGACTCCCATGTAGGAACAATTGATTGCAATTTTTGAGCGATATGCTACGTGAGCAAAGCGCCTTTGCGCTATAATTATCCAGCACGGTCAATTTATCGGCGAAATTGTGAATCATGAGGACTGCGGCATGTTTTTTTGGCACACTTATGAACGGATGTTCTGTTCTCAAATTACAAGATTGCCCGAGGTGGGGTCTGAGTAATGCGCGGTAGCTGGAAATGGACAAATGTAGGTGGGTTCATTTGAAAAATTGCCGTCGGCGCAGAATTGATTTGGCTCAAGGAATTCTTATAAACTGAAGAATGGTCTGTATT